ACTCTTGAGTGCTGCGCGGAGGAAGGGGACAGGGTCTGAGTGGTTGGCCTCACTGGGTGGACTCAGGCAGAATCATTTGCCTTCCCTGAGCCTCAGTTTCCTCTTCTGTAAAATGGGGCCATTGGGCTCCTTTCTCCTACTTCACACCCTACCCAAGCACGAGGGTCTGTGATTGGATGGTGATTGAGAAGTTCATTCCTTTCTGGAAAAGTCTGATTAGGGAAGGTCATTACAAAAGGCTCTTTTTAAAAAGATGAAGTTGATTGTATCAGTTAAGTGGCTCTGGGTGGATCAGAAATGTTGGCCCCACAGGTTTTGAGCAGGCACCTTGCTTGGCGTCTTTGGGGCTACCCAGAGTCGGTCATTGTTGGCGTTAACCAGGCGTCCTCCTGGGCTGGGAGACGTGGTGTAGGTGCCGGGCAGCCGGCGCAGAAAGCCTGTCCCCAGCCAGTCCTTCGGACAGCCCCTCTCTTGTGAAGAACCTCTGGATCCCAACTCTCCAGGAAGCATCCCTGCCCCTGCTCCTCCCCGCTGGCCTTGCCTGTGGTTGACCGACTTCACACGTGGAAAGGTGTCCACCTTCCTGAGACCCGGGTATCCGAGAGCAGATCCGGTTTACCGCTGAGCTCTCTATACCTGCCTTTCCCCCCAGCTTTACTGAGATATCATTGGTTAGAAATGCACACTCCGGGGCTCCAACCCCAGATCGAGGGAATCAGAGGCCACACCCTCTTTGTTCTAAAGCAGTGGTTGTCACACTGTGTGCTGCAAGAATTTTTAAAACATGCAATGCCTGACTATGCAGTCAGGGGCATTGAACCCTTTTCCCTTGATTGTCAAATTAAAACAAAAATAAAAAATAACAATAGCCAGTACAACAATAGCCATCTGGTGTGAATGAATCAAAATTATACCTATTTTTTGTCAGATTGGCCTAAAAATATAATATTTTTTGGTGTGCTGCAGAATTTTAGCAGTTAGTTTATGTGTGCCGAGAGATAAAATGAGGTTGAACGTTGTTGTTCTAAAGGCCTCGGGCATCTAAGGCGGGACTCTGAAGCCGTGGTTCTCAGACCAGGGAGGAGGGCCGTGGCGGCAGGCAGCCGGGAGATGTCGCTGTTCCCCAGACGTTGGCGATGCCAGGCTTCTCTCCGGCTTTGTTCACTGTGAAATCCTGGGAAGCACCTAGAAGTTCAGGTTGATTACATCTATCAGGCCACCCCCTCCTCTGCCACCCAGGCCCCCCATCTTCCTCTGCCCAGTTCCTGCCCTGGGTCCTCAGCGACGTTTCCAGTTAGGAGAGGCTGTGTGGTTCTCGAGCTGTTGGGAGGCCCCTTCCCACTTGGAGTCCGAGCTGGAGGACTGAGTGGCAACAGGACCCGCAGATGCAGGGAGAGGAAGTTCCCATCATTTGACCGTCTTACAGGAAAAACCCAAGGGCCGCCTGGGGCTCCAGTTTTCTGTTTTCTGTCTGAAACGGGAGCCCAGTGTCAGGGGCCACGTTATGGCTTCACTTCTCCTCTGCAGCTACAGTGCTGCTAACGCTGCTCCGTTGCTGTGGAGGCAGCGAACGTGGGCTCCAGAGTCGGGGCCAAACAGCCCTCACCCCGGACTGGAAGCAGAATCACTGGGGGTTCCCTCCAGGGCCGAGGCTCCGGTCCAGCCACATCCTCCTGGCTGCCCGCCATGCTGCATCCTTTGGTCCTGGAACACCTAGACCACAGAGCAGAATGAAGATCAGCTGCCACGCTCAGTCCCACCCGGGAGCAGGAAGTCTCCTCTAAACCCCAGAATCCATCCCTAATCCACGGCTGAGACCTGGTTTCCTGCCTGACTCCTGTCACTGCAGCTCCCGGGTCAGCCCCAGGCCGCACCACCCAGTGGCTGACAGGATTCTAGTTGTCCGGGTCACAGCGGTAGCGCAGTAACATTTCTGGGTGATGACTGTGTGCTAGTCACATAACATATGTGATCTCAGTTAATCACTGCGACGGTGAGGAGCAGGAGGTGATCCTGTCTTACGCAGAGAGAAGCTGTGAGTTGGAGCCATTGGTTGATTTGTTCAATCTCATGCAGACAACAAACGGGGAACCGGGGTAGAAGGGGCACTTGTCTTTCTCTGCACAAACCCTACTGCCCTGGAACAGTGCTACCCCTGCCCCAGCCTCAGAGTCTTAGAGCTGATTTCTGCCAGCTCTTCACAATGGGTGTCAGGTTTCCCTTTGAGCAGTATCAGCAGGGTCTCCGTGGACCCTGCAAGGTGAAGTGTTACATGTAGTAAGTGAGGAAGTGGTTCCCCAGCTGAGGACAGAGAAACTGTGTTGCAAGGTGGCACTTGTGCTTTTCACATGCACTCACCCTGGCAATGGTGCCATTGCTAATTACCATTGAAACTTTGGTGATTTCACCAGTGAACCTGGAGCCCAAGGTCCCAGGCTTACCTCTGACCCAATTCACACATCCTTTAGGTTAGAGATAGTCTCAGGCATGCACAATAGTAAGCATGATGAAACATTGGTCAATGATGAAAATTCACCATTGATTTATTTGCCTTTCATTGTTCATTCACACTTTCATCCATCCTTTGATAATTCATCCATCAGATATCAATGTACTGACACCTGTCGGGTGCGGAGCATTATGTTCAGTATCCAGGAGCCAAGAGGTGGTAAGATTCCATTCAAATTAGTCGATATTTATCGAGGTCCTGCTGTGTGCCACTCACTGTGCTGGGGACTCCAGCCAGTCTGCGGCCTTGCTGCGGTGAAGCTGCCATTCTAGCCAGGAAGGCATGCAGGCGAACATAATGATGCACAGTGTAATACACACGGTCAGTAACAGAGGCGGGTGCCAGGTGCTGCAGGAGCAGGGCGGGTGGGGAATTCGTTCTGCCAGAGAGCAGGCAAGGCTTTGCAGAAGAGATGACATTTAAGCTGCGCCTTGAAGAAAGGGGAAACATTAGAGTGGCCTCAGCAGAGGCCCGAGGCCTAATCAGTGCAGGGCAACGAGCTGGGAGTGGCCACACTGAGGGTCTCAGGCCTTTGTGCACATTGGTCCTGGACCCTCAGATTCTGTTGTCTGCAGCAGGGCCCAGGGTTCTGCATTTTTAAAATTCAATTTAGCATTTTTTAAAAATTTATTTTTCAATCACAGTTGACTTCCAGTATCATTTTTTATTTGTTTTGGGTATACAACATAGTAGGTAGACAATCTTGTAATTCACAAAGTGACCCTCTTGATAAGCCCAGTATCCGTCTGGCACGGCACATAGTTACTAAAACGGTATCGACCATGTTCCCTACGCTGCACTTTACATCCCCGTCAGTATTTTGTACCGCTTAATCCTTTCACCTTTCTCACCCATCTCCCCACCCACTTCCCTTCGGGCAACCATCAGCTTGTTCTCTGCATCTATGAGTCTGTTTCTGTTTTATTTGTTCATTTTGTTCTTAAGACTCCAAGTCTAAGTGAAATCATAGGCTATTTGTCTTTCTCTGTCTGACTTATTTCACTTAGCATAACACCCTCTAGGTCCATCTGTGTTGTTGCAAATGGTAAGATTTCATTCTTTTTTATGGCTGTATTCCAGTGTGTGTGTGTGTGTGTGTGTGTGTACCACAGCTTTTAAAAATATTTTATTTATTTATTTTTAGAGAGAGGGGAAGGGAAGGAGAAAGAGAGGGAGAGAAACATCAATGTGTGGTTGCCTCTCATGTGTTCCCCCGACTGGGACGTCACCCAGGCATGTGCCCTGACTGGGAATCGAACTGCGATCCTTGGCTCAGGCCCTCTCAATCCACGACTACACAGCCGTACCCAGCTTTTTTTTTATCCATTCATTTATTGATGGGCACCAGGGTTGCTTCCACATCTTGGTGATTGTAAATAACGCTGTGATGAACACAGAGGTCCATATATCTTTTTGAATTAGTGCTTTGGATTTCTTCAAATATACACACAGGAGTGGAATCATTGGGTCATAGGCAGTTCTATTTTTAATTTTTTGAGAACACACAGCTGTCCATAGTGGTTGTACCAATCCACATTCCCACCAAGAGTGCACAAGAGTTCCCTTTTCTCCACATCCTCACCAGCACTTGTTTGTTGATTTATTGATGATAGACATTCTGACAGGTGTGAGGTGACATCTCACTGTGGTTTTTATTTACTTTCAGAGAGAGAGGAAGAGAGGGAGAAAGGGAGGGAGAGAAACGTGGATGAGTGAGAGAAACATCCATCGGTTGCCTCTCACATGCCCCAGCTGGGGGCCTGGCCCACCACCCAGATATATGTCCTGGCTGGGAATCAAACTGTCAACCCTTTGGTTCTCAGGCTGGTGCTCAAACCATTGAGCCACACCAGCAAGGGCTCATTGTGGTTTTAATTTGCATTTCTCTGATGATTAGTAACATTGAGCATCTTTTCATATGTCTATGGGCTACCTGTATGTTTTTGGATAAGTGTCTATTTAGGGACACTAATCCCTCTGTCCATTTTTTAAAAAGATTTTATTCATTTATCTTTAGAGGGGAAGGGAAGGAGAGAAGTAGAGAAATACCAATGTATGGTTGCCTCTCATGTGCCCCCTACTGGGGACCTGGCCTGCAACCCAGGCGTGTGCCCTGACTGGGAATCAAACTGCGATCCTTTGGTTCTCAGGCCTGCACTCAATCCACTGAGCTACACCAGCCAGGGCTTCCTCTGTCCATTTTTCAGTTGAATTTTTTGTTTTGTTGGTGTTGAGTTGTGTGTTCTTTATACATTTTTAACCCCTTAGGAAATGTATCTTTAGCCAATATCTTTTCCCATTCAGTTGGTTTCTTTTCATTTTGTGGGTGGTTTCCACTGTGAGTGCAAAAACCTTTTAGTTTCATGTAGACCAGGGTTCTGCATTTTTAACCCAGACCCCAGGTGACTCTGATGCAGGTGAGAGACCACAGCCTGAGAAACCCAGGCCTAGGGCTTCATTGGCGGGAAGTGTAGAAGATGATTCTGGAACAACACAGGAAGGCCAAGCTGTGCTGGATGTGAAGTCCTGTGCTAAGGAACTTGGGTCTTTCTCTTCTCAGTGGAGAGAACGCATAGGCGGCTTTCAAGTCCAGAGTGGCAGTTTGGAAGCAGAGTTTTGTCAGCAGCCTGGAGAGGATAGTGGACTGTTACAAAGCTTCTACAACTGTCCAGGCTGTGGGCCTGAGGGCCTGAGCCAAGGTCAACCAGGTAAGCAGCAGGAGCGTCTTAGGGTGGATTTGAGAGGGCTCTGGAAGATGGGGCCATGGACCTGGGGTAGATGGGATGAGGGCAGTTAAGGAGCGGGAGATGTTGACATCAAGCTGACATTTCCATGTGGGGGCCTTAAGAAGGGACCAGATACTTCGGTGGGGGGACAGGTCAGGAGGAGGAACAGTGAGTTCTGATTTACATGTGGTAGGTTTCAGGGCTCGTGGGACCTCCAGCAGGAGGTGGGTAACACACAGTTGGATCCAGGCTCAGAGGAGGTCGTTGAAGCTGTGGGAGGAGCTTTTGAGGAGAAAAGGGGACTTTGAAGTGTGTGCACATTTTCAGCAGGTGATGTAGAATGAGAAGGAAAAGTGGGCAAGAAGAACAAACTGGAACAGCGGGTTGTTTGTTGTCAATTTTCCGTCTCCACTCCCATCACTGCAGATGGGACTACCAGGGCTGAGACGCGAGAATGGTTTCTTCTCAGTCATTGCGCTTATCCTTGTGGGGCCGGGGTTTTGAACACAAGCCCCTTTGGCTCCAGCCCCTATACTCTTGTCTCTGCTGAGGCTCCAGGAGGCAAATCCCATCCCCGGATACAAAATCAACAGACTTTGTGGGTTAGGGTGGGAAGATGGAGCTGGGGAAGATGCAGCAGAAAGAACTTGGAAGAGAAAGGCGGCAGAAAGAGAACGTGTGTTAAGGAAGCATATTTTTCTTTACTTCTCCCTGCTAGAATAATTTGAAGCAAATCCCAGACTCCGTATCATTTCATCCATAAACACTTCAGTATGTATCTCAAAAAGATATGGCTCATTTTTTTTAACATAGTCACAATACCATTATCACAGTTTAAAAAAAATCTAACAAGCATTCCTATTCAGTCAACCTATTGAGGGCAATTTGACAAGACCTCGGAATAGAAGCCCCATTCGCTTATCTTGAGCTGGTATTGTCACGAGGCCATGATAAGGAATTCAAATTTTCCCAAGATAATTACAGTCCGGCAGACAGAGGATTGTAAATGCAGGAGCTTGGAAAAGCTTGTCAGGGCCCAGGGAAGGAAATATTTTAAAGAAGGGAAAAAAAGTCTGGAAAGGTTGACAGAGTAGGAAAGAAAAGAATCTTCTTGCCCACTTCCCTTTTTCTTGCCCAACAGCCTCTAGTCATAATTGTGAACTGGGGACCAGGTCTACACTGAAACCAAAGGGGGTAAAAATAACACAGTGAGTAGCCGCTAAACACAACAAAACAGATTCATGGGCCGCGGCTTTTACCAGGGTTCCCCAGACTGCCCACTCCCTGGGCAAGGACTGTGAGGTGACTGCGGTTCAGAATGGCAGGTTCCTGAGGGGTCCTGTGTGTGGATTATCAACTGGTTTAGTAAATGGATCCTGCCCTTCCACTGAGCATCAGGAAACCTGGTTCTTAAGTGCGATTCCTCTACGATCTGGTTTGGTGGCCTTGGACGAGATCTTTCACCTCTCTGAGCTGATCTGCAGCCTGAAGGTGTGTAGACCACAGGATCTCAAAGTTCCCCTCGCGTTCTGAATTCTCTGATTCAATGAATGCCCAATGAAAGAAAGGGTGCCCATTCTCTGGAAGTGCAACAGTGTTACCAGGATTTGGTTTGATGTTGCCCCGTGTCTGCAGGATGCTCGGATAACCGAGAGGAAGGATGCCATGGAGATGCCCCGCATCTGCCCCACGTCTGTTACACAGGTTTGTGCTTCAGAATCACCTGGGGTGGCACTTGGCTGAAGCCCCGGAGGAGACCCAAAGGCAGCTTCAGGTGAGCTCGCAGGAAACCAGCAGCGGATGGACATCAGATGGAAGATGTACAGAGCCATCCACAGATGGAGCCGGTTGCCTGAGGCCCAGGAATCGTAGAGAGTTTACGTGCCAGCCTGATGTGCATGTTTGTGCGGGTGAGTGTGAATGGCAGGTAAAGGGGTTGATGGATGGATGGCCACTAGGGATTTGGGGCTGAAATGGGGCTCACGGAAGGGGCTGTGTGGAGCTGTCAGATCACGTTGCCGTGTGTTGCTGGGATTCTGGGCCTCGGCCCAGGGAACTGCATTCGAGTAGAATCTTAAGCACTAGGGCTGGAGGGGAGCCAGAGGAAGACGCAAGAATGTGACCAGAAACGGTAGGGAGGAAGCAAAACAGACCCCATCCAGTGGCAGAGGAGTCGCCCTTCCCACACACCCTGCCCCTGACCCAGCTAGCTCCTCGCCGTCAGGCCGGGAAAGAGAGGACTCAGGGGGCTCTCGGTTCCAGCTGCCCAGCTGATTTCTTTTTTTCAGTTTCCATAACAGAGCTTTATCTGGAGCTGTGTCCTCTGCCTGCAAGGCAACTCTCTTCTCCCGTCGACTTCTGCTCTGACCTTAGCTCAAATCTGCCACCTCCAGGAAGCCCTCCTTGACCTCCCTATCTAAGCCATACCATTCCGTTTTTAGGTCCTTATACCATTACACACTTAAAAAAAAAATAACACTCCTCATGGGCATATTTTTTGTGTTTTTATGTGATTCGTTTTTAATTTGTAATTTTGAAAACAATGAAGCTTTCACAAAAGTTGCAAGAATGATACAAAGAACTCCCACATATGTTTCAACCAGATCCAGCAACTGTTAACATTTTATCACATTCTCTCTCTCTATAGGTGTATATATAATATAGGTTATATAAGCATATATATATAGGTAATATAATACAATGTGTTATATAGGACTGTTATTTTTCTGAACTACTTGAGAATAAGTTGCAGACGTCTTGCCCCTTTACCCCCAAATACTTAAGCATTATTTCCTAAAAACAAGATCACTCGCTTACATAACTACAGCATAATTAAATCATATGATTCTCTGAGTAATGTCTGTCTCCTTTTACTTAAATGCCTGCTCTGTGAGGGCAGGGGCCACTCCTGCTCACCGCCCCATGCGTGCGTTGCCTGGCGCTCTGCAATATTTGTTGAATGTACAGGAAGCCCTGATCCGAGGGCTTTGTCATTACGGTTGCATTCTACCCCAGCTCTGAGCTTTCTCACTCAGCGTTCAGTGTGTGTGGGGTGGGGTTGGGTGTTCGGAAGTGTCCGCCTGTCTCCATTTCCATGGGGAATCAGGATCCCACTGCGGCAAATTATAGTGCCTGAAGATTTGGCTTCTGTTGTTTTCAAATCCTTTCCAGCCAGTCTTGACGGGCGGCTGCTTTTTTCTGGCCCAGTGGCACCTGTTGGTCATCACACCCCGTTAATTGGCCCCACGAGAGAGTTCTGGCAGAGACAACTAGCATGTTGGCCAATCTTTCCATGTAATTGCTTTTGTGAGGCACGGGCCTTTGCCTCGGAAACCGCCCTGTAAGCCTTTGGCCCACGAGGCACTTTGGGCTACCTCACAACTCACCTTTGGCCCTCTGTCAGGACATTGCAGTTGCTTAGTCAACGGAGAAGCTGATGGAGGGGAAGGATGCGCTCGGGGCAAGAGGAAGCGGAAGCCCACAGCTCACAGAATCCAGATTTGGAGAGGACTTCAGAGGTCATTTACAATGGTGTTTTTCCTAATGTGGTCCCCAAGTTGCAGTATCAACAACCTCTGGGAACTTTTAAGGAACGCCCCACCCCAGACCTACCGAGTCAGAATCTCTGGGGATGGGCGCAGACGTCTGTGTTTTAACCAGCCCTCCAGGTGATTGGAAACGTGCTCAGGTTTGCGGCCCTCTGCTCTGGGCTGACCCCAGCAGTCTTTAATGGTGCACCTCAGACTCCAGGATGGTCACCCTGAGTCCTCCTCTCATGCTCACTAGCACCTTCTCCACTCATTGCCGCTTGCTGGTGGTTTTTTTTTAATGTTCTCAGGATCATAAATAAGCTTATCACAGGCGATTGCATTACCATGGCAACCTGGCAGCTGGTTAGAAAGAAGCAGGTAGCACAACTAAATGCCTTGGGGTCTCCTTGGCGCTAAAGAAATTGTGGGTTTTCTCTGTTGGTCATTCTTCCAATGCCTGGCCTCTTTGTCTCTCTTCTCTTTTCGTCTTCCTTTTCCTCTTTTCTTCTCTGGCCCTTATGCCTCCATTGTCTCACGAAGAGCATCATGTGTTCTAATTGTCTTAGCTTTCCCAAGGGCTGCCGAAATCTGACCTCTCCTTTGAAACTAACAATAACACTGTGAGGTGGGTGGATGTGAGCAGGTCTGCATTTTTATCCTCAGCAAATGTTGTATTAAAATTTTCATGAGTCGATTGGCTTCTCTTTCAAGAAGGTACATGCACAGAGTACCAAATTCAAACGCTACAAAACAGCACACATTATGAGTAAGTCTCCCTAGGACCCTCAGTGCTTAGGTCCCCTCTCAGGGGGAGACCTGTCTCTTGTGCACCTTTGCTGAGATAGCCCGTGCCCGTACGAGCCTGCTCCTTTACCTCCTTTCTCCTTTCCTATGGACACGACCGGCAGCATGCCGTACCCAACGCCCTGGACCTTGCTCTTTCACTCAGTGTGTCTTGGTAACGCTTCTCCAGCGTTGGGAGTTGCCTCGTGCTTTTTCATAGCTGCACATTCCATGGTGGGGATTTGCCATGATTTATTTAAGCAGTTCCTGTCGACGGACATTTGTGTTGCTTACAATCTTTTTCTATTTTCATTGCCACGTTAAAGCTGGGGAAGCTGTGATTCAGAGAGGGCAGTGATACGTGGCAATTTCCAAAGCAAGGCTGGCAAATACCTAGACATTGCTTAGCTACGAAGTCTAAAAAAGAGAACGAGTTGACTGGTCTCTGAATTACAGAAAAGAAAGGACCGTTTAGAGACCTGGTTTCATTTCTTGCCTTGTTACTGTCTTAGTTAGTTCAGCCAAATTCTGCCAACATTGCCTGATGTGTAATTAAATAATGGCTTGTGGAGATATTTTAAATCTGTCTTCCTTGCGAGATGATAATCTTTGTTAGAGCAGGGGGCATGTTTGCCTCACTGCTGCATCCCTAGCAAGTACTATATTCCTAGCAAGTACTGAGTATACAGTAGGTGCTCAATAAATACTCGTTGGCTGAACGAATGGGCCAGAATTGTGTGTGGTTAAGACAATAGGCTTGGAGGCCTGGGTTTGAATCCTGACTCTAATACTTTTTTTTTAAAAAAATATTTTATTATTTATTTATCTTTAGAGGGGAAGTGGGGGAAGGAGAGAGGGAGAGAAACATCAATGTATGGTTGCCTTTTGTGTGTCCCCTGCTGGGAACTGGCCTGCAGGGAACCGGCCTGCAACCCAGGCATGTGCCCTGACTGGGAATCGAACCGCGATCGTGTGGTTCGCAGGCCCGCGCTCAATCCACTGAGCCACACCAGCCAGGGCTTGACTCTAATACTTTTTAGTTGTATAATCCAAGGCCCTCCACTCAACTCCTCTCTGCCTCAGTTTCCTTAGCTGTGAAATGGAAACACACCCTCGGAGTTGCAGGGAGGGTCAAGTGAGGGATTGCAGCTCAGGTACCCGTCATGGACCCCGAACACAGAGAGGACTCAGCCATCTCTCTCAGCTCTTTCACTGTCGTGTCCTGCTGGGAAATTCAGATGGGGAAATTGAAAAATCTTTAAAGAAAAGGTCATTTGAGCTGAGCCCTGAAGCAGGAGTTAGATTCCAGGGTATGTGTCTGGGGCCAGATCCCTTTACTGAGCTCATCCAACTGCAAAACGGAGATGACGACACCCAGCTTCTGCCTCCCTCTGGGGAAATGGTCCTGCTTAAACTCTCTCAAGAGGACTATACCACCCAATTAAAAGGCACCATTATTATTCAGCTGGAAAAGTGCCTTCACTGGAAAAGTGCCTAGGACAAGCGAACTAATCTCTGCCAAGTATAGTTCTGCTTGTGCTGTGTTTAATTGAATATTTAGTGTGGATTTAACCCAGGGAGACAACTGTCTGTTGGTTAGAGTCAAGTTTAATGGAGCTCTTGATAAATATGGAGGTAATTAATGCCATCCAGATGCTGGCTGCGTATACGGTTTGTGCTGTTTCCATGACTGAAGCATTTCAGAGAGATAACATTGTGCCTTTCTCCTCCAGGGGAACTGAAAGTGCGAGCCCGGGCCTGGGCCTTTGCTTCTGCTGAGATCTCCTTCTGGAGATCAGAGGTCACCTATTCTGGAAAGCCTTCTGTAATTGCCAAAGGCCGAATCTGATGCTTCTCCTGGGTTCTTATGTCACTCTGCACACACTTCTTAGAACTCGAAATACCCTATTGTTTTAGTTTGTTTCTATGTGTGTCTCCCACCAGAGTCCAAGGTCTTGTCCCCGGTGTTTACCTGACATACGGTCGGCATTCAGTGAATGTCTGCCGAATGACGCTGTTCAGGCTTCAGAACTCTGGGAGCTTCGGGGTCTCAAGGACAGGTTAGGGTGTTTGGATTTTCGTGGGAAAGGCAGACCCTCTGTGGTACTGACCTGTAATCTCTCTTCGGATAAATTCCGTTTGATGCCCTTTCTAATGAGCCCAGAGTTGAAATGTGAACTGTTCTTTCTCTGCAGCAGAATGGATGCTGCGTATTTACAGCCCCCAAGAGTGCCTCCAGCCCCGAGCCTGCACTGTGTAGAAAGCAGGAGAACAGGCCTTGAACAGGTAAAGTCGTTTATCTGCTCTTAGGTTCCCAGCGGCCCAGAGAGAAAGGCCAGGATACAGTGAGTCTCCACTGCTGTTGGGCCCCACCGTCCGTCTCCAGGAGATAGAAACTGTCTCTGTTGCCTGCAGGAAAGCGACCCCTTGTTTCAATCCGGCATTCTCGGTTTCACACCTGAGCCGAACCTAAGGCAGAGGAGGAATTGGTGGAACCACCCAAAGGGAGATGCGGCCAAGGTCCTACCCCAAGAACCACCTGCTTTGAACAAGGGCCTAGACTCGGCTCAGCTGGCAATTCTGCCTCCAGATTCAGAGTCTGGAATGGGGGCAATTCTGCTTCCAGATTTGAAGTCTGGAATGGGGGCAATTCTGCTTCCAGATTTGAAGTCTGGAATGGGGGCAATTCTGCTTCCAGATTTGAAGTCTGGAATGGGGGCTTCAGGTAGGTCCAGCACCCACGCCGTAGCAGCGATTGAGGGGAGGGTGTGTCTCCCCATCTCTCTGCTGTGGTGGGCGAGGGAGTTGTCTCTTCCTGCTTCTGGGGATTCCTACCAACAGGGGCTCAGACACTGGGCAGCCCAAGTGACAAATGCCAGCTTTCCCCCCACTCTGTGAAGTTCTTTCCCTTCTGTTACTCCTCAGAAAGGGCTCTGTCACCTGGTTCCAGTCACTTTACCTGTGCAAACCAGGCGCGTGCTAGGTGCTGGGAGATAGGAGCCAACAAAGAAAATGGAGATTACATTCTATTGGGGGAGAGATCGATAATAAGTAAGTAAGCAAGCAAAAATGATGATTATAGATGTGACAATGCTATAAAAGAAATGGGCAGGGAGCTGTGAAAGGAAGTGAGAGAAGCCTACCTGGAGAGTTTCTGTAATCCATACCCCAAAACTTAGTGGCTCACAACACTTGTATTTAGCTTGTGATTTTGTGGGTTGGGGATTTGGGAAAGGCTGGCTTGGGCGGTTCATCTCTGCTCCTTGTGGTGTTAGCTGGGGTCTGGGCTGGAGAATCCACTTCCAAGATGGTTTATTGTTTGCCCCAAATTTTGTAGTGAAAAATTTCAAATATACCAAAAAGTGGCAATACTTGTACAGCAAACACTATACCCCCCTTCCCAGATTCTACACTTAACAGTGTACTGTCTTTATCACATGTCTGCATATCTCCACCTGTGCAAGATGTCTTTTGCACTCCTGGGTCATGTGGCTTGGGTTTCTCACAGCTCGGTGATCTCAGGCTAGTCACACTTCTCACAAGGCGGCTGACTTCCAGGCCAGTTAGCTGCCATGTCTGGAGGTGACACAGTGTCTCTTCCATGGAATGCTATTGGTCAAAGTGGGCATGGGGGAGAAGAGTGTGTGGAATGGAGCCATCTTTAGAAACAACGATCAGCCAGAGAGGGTGATCAGGGAAGCCCTTTGCAAAGAGGTGGTGTTCGGGCTGAGTCCTGAGATTTGAGCTTTTCTTGTGGACATCCCAGAGAGAAAAGCATTCTGGGCAAAGAGACTGACAAAGGCGAAAAGTATCAGAGCTGGAAAGACAAATCTTTCTACTCTACTTTCCTTTTCCATATCCAAATCCAACCCATCATCTGGAAACTACATCACGCCACCTCCTTCATGAAGTCTTCCCAGATAGCTCAGTCCTTGCTGATCTTTCCCTCTTCTTAGAGCACTCATGCCTGCAGTACTCATTTGGCTTGCAAAGGTTGGCTGGATAGTGCAGTGGTTACATACACAGTCTCTGTGAGGCCTTGGGGAAGCTGCTTACCTTCTCCAGCCCTAGGTTTCTTCACCTGTAAATGGGAGTAATAACACCTACCATATAGGACGGCTGGAGAAAAACTACTAACATATGTCAAGTGCTTGGCACCTGGTGAATATTCAATAAGTGGCTGTTATAATTAATAATTACAAACTGGTTCACCCCATCACATGCTAATCTAGTTTAGAATTTTGGTTCAGAGCAGAGACCAAGCCTTTTTCAACTTTTTCTCTTTCACACCACAAGCAGTGTGCCTCGCCTGGATATTATGCTTAGGAACCAGCACAGCACGGAGCTCTCCGTCATGCCGCAGTGCTGATGGAGCCATGCAGGGCAAAGAGATGAGCGAGACTCAGCTGGAACCCTTCAGAAGCGTCCAGAGAATGAGAAAGTAGCTGTGCCTGCAGCAGCCACACTGAGGACCCTTTACATTTGGATGCAGACTAACAGTTTTCAAAGCACCTGCACATCTGTACTAGTTTGCTAGGGCTGCTGTAACATAAACTAGGTAGCTTACACAACAGGTATTTTCTCACAGTTCTGGAGGCCATGAGTCTGAAATGAAGGTGTCTGCAAGCACCTGCTGAGAGCTGCGAGGAGGAATCTGTTCCACAGCTTTCCTCCAGGTTGTGGTGGTTTGCTGGCAATCTTTGGCATTCCTTGGTTTTTAGAAGCATTGCCCTCATCCCTGTCTTCCTCTTCATATGGCATTCTCTCTATGTGTGCATGTGTGATCAAATTTCATTCTTTAATAAGGCCACCAATCATGTTGAATTAGGGCCCACTGCAATGACCTCATTTTAACTTGATTGCCTCTGTAAAGAGCTTCTCTCTGTGTGATCACATTCTACGGGAGTGGGGTGGGACTCCAACTTATCCTTTTGTGGGGGCACAATTCAACACATAAAACACCTCTGTGTCCTATGGTCCTTCTCATCCACACCTCACAGTGAGCTCCTTCAGGGCAAGTACCAAGTCTTGTCCTAAATTTCTGTACCTTTCAGGCCTCAGCTTCTCCCTGCTTCTTATGCTCCAAGCTTTTCCACCTCTTTCCACATTGCTCTTTCTTCTCTTTGCCTGGCAAATTCCTACCCATTCTTCGTTTTTTGTTGTTGTTGTTGTTTTGTTTTGTTTTTAGTTTTAAAAAAATTATCTTTAGAGGGGAAGGGAAGGAGAGAGGGAGAGAAATATCAATGTATGATTGCCTCTCATGCATCCCTTGCTGGGAACTGGCCGGCAATCCAGGCATGTGCCCTCACTGGGAATCAAACCGCAATCCTCTGGTTCGCAGGTTCGCACTCAATCCACTGAGCTACGCCAGTCAGGGTCCATTTTTCATTTCTTAGTGTAAATGTTACCCCCACAAAGGGGCCTTCCCAGATCTCCCTCTCTTGATTGTATCTCCCATGTTATCTATTCTCATAGTTTCCTCTTCTTTCTTCCCGATACATCTCATGGTTCCTTAGTATATATTTCTCTGTGTGATTGATCAATGGAGCTGTCAGTCTGTAAGCACAGTGAGGGTAGGGACCCACCTACTCATCAATGTCTTCTTAGTTCTACAGCACATGATCCAGAGTAGAAACTCCATAAATATTTGTTTTTTTAAAAATTTTATTTAGTTATTTTTCAAGTACAGTTTTTTGTCTATTTTTCCCATCCCAGCCTCCCCCCATAAATATTTGTTGAGTGAAAGAATGAATAGTACATCTCTGGATCCTCCATACCATCTCAAATAGTACAAGATTAGTGGATGTTGAGTGAATTATAATTATTTATGTCTGTATCCTCCAAGACAGAGTGAGCTCTTTGAGAGTAAGATTAAGTTTCACTCTTTTGAATCTCCGGCATCCAACACCTCCTTCTTGATCTTGTACTTGTTAATTATCTGTCCTGCACAACAAATTACTTTGAAGTTTAGGAGCTTAAAATACTAGCATTTATTATTTCACAATTTCTGTGGGTTAGGAGTTCAAAAGTGACTTGGCTGAGTGTTTCTGGCTCAAGGTCTTTCATGAGATTATACTTATGGTTTTGGTCAGGGGCTGCCATATGTATTTTGTCTAAAGGCTTGACTGGAGCTGGAGGATCCACTCCCAAGGTGGCACATGCACATGGCTGGCAAGTTGGGATTGGTTGTTTGCAGGAGGCTTCACTTATTACTCTTGGGAGCCTCTCTTCAGGGCTTCTTAATTGCCCTCCCAACATGATTCCCCATGAGGGATCAAGAGGGAGCAAAGAGGAAGAGCAATGTCTTTTATGTCTTAATGTTGGAACTCATGCTCCATGATTTCCACAATATCCTGTTGGTTCTATTCAGTGTGGAAGGGGACTACACAAGGGTATGGATACTAGGAGTCCGCCATGATATGGGAGTCCTCCCATATCATGGTATACCATGATACCATGATCATGGGAGTCCGCCATGGAGGCTAGATACTCTAAACTAGATCTATGTTCCCTCTACTTGCCTACCCATACTCAGTCATGAAATCCTATTCTTTGCCTTTCAGATGCTCATCACATCATATGATTACATGTTCATTGAATTATTTTTGTCTATCTCCCTCCACCAGAACGCCAGCTCCATGAGAACAGACTGCACCTGTTTGGTTCAGCACTGCCCCAGTAACCAGCACAAAGCATAGAGTAGGTGCTTGGTGAATGTTTTCAATGGATTCTAATAATTTGTTCCTGTTGGAATTACAAGAATGTGCTCCTCTCCCTTCTGCATTGTAGGCTCCTAGCTTAGAGCCTGGCACAGAATTTAGGCTTCTTCTATAAGCATCTAAAAACCACTACAGCATCTAAAAACCACTCAGCTGAAAATCAGCTGACTGATAGATTTGGAGAAGCCAAGAGGTTTCTATCTTGCTTTTCCAGGCCTCTCCTTCTGGCTGAAACCTACAAAGCAGGGACAAAAGTCCAGCAAACCACCAACCTTAGCAACGCGGGCGGAGCCAAACTCGCCGGTTGCTCAGGCGCGTCACTTCCGGAATTCGTGGTCTCGGAGAACCACTTCCGGGGGAGCGGCGCGCTGCAGCGCCGGTGGTGAGTGCGACGGAGCTGGCGGCCGGGCCGGTCTTCGGGGCGGGGCGGAGTCGCAGAGGCCGCGGGAACGAGAAGGGTTTGGGCTGGGCTGGGGCATCGTGGCCTTGTTGTCCCAAGCGGCTCCGTTCCGTTTGCCTGAGCTTCTCCGCGCGCGGCCAGAGTAACTTCCCACGGGCTTGTTAGGAAGTTACTTGCAGACGGGAATTTGGGTTCCTGTGAGGCACAAGGCCTGGCCCGGTCCAGCGCTTTAGTTCAGAGCCTGGGCAGAACACAGCGCTCTTTACGGCCACGAGCAGGGCTTTCCTCCTCTGAGTGGAGGGAGCATTAGGAGCCAAATCTCCGGGGCTCCAGGCCTGAGTATGCCCCGTAGTGCGCTGTAACGGGGGGGTGATCTCTGGTTTCCTCTCTGGTTTCAATTTCCTCCCCTGCAACGGGCACGTAGGCTTCACCTGGGGA